TACCTTAATTTCTCACGGTCGATTTTTGATTTATAACGAATATTACGAATATCTAGAAAGCCTTTTCTTATTATATAAGATCCCGCGATAAGAATGGGACTTAAAAAGGCTATAAGGAGAAAGAGTATAACATTCTTTACCAATAGCTTTATCCAAATTATATGTCGCAGAAACTTGGAATTCCAGATCGTCGAGATCATTAACTTTTTCACTTCGCAGGAGAGATCGTCGAATCTAAGGGGAGTTAATTTCACCAGAAAAGCGACAAAATAGATTCAGTATTTGGAACTTATAACCGAATAGACTTGCTTTACATGGTGGGGTCTAGATTGCGTTACCCTACCGCAATTACTAATCGTGTAACTTTTTTTTTCTGGCAGGTTCTCTAGATCTAACGAATGAACGGTATAAAAATAATCGGTTTTTTGTTTCTTGTAGGTGGGTTATAATAATATTTTTTGCTCGTATATAATTATTTTTTAAAGTAATGTGCTATTTTATTTATTTAACCGCGATTATGAAAACAAATTTTTTCTTACTAAATAATTTTTGTATTTAGGAACGAAAAATGAGCAGTAACGACACCACCACCCCTACGACTAATGATACCACCACCACTACCACCATCACTACCACCTATGACACTACCACTCCCACGACTAATAATCCAACCCCATCTAGACCAAACCCCGTGGATATTACTCTAACTAGTAAGAAAACTTTTTATCTTTTTGTTTTGCCAACTTTACCAATACGATATTTTTCAGAATTAAGTTTTTTATTTCATTAACATTAGGAAAGCATGAAGAAATACGAAATGATGGTTCAAGGTCAACTGATACTGTAACTTTGAGAACAAGATCTAATGATGGTTCATTAGATTTTAATAAACTCCAAAAATTTCTAAACAAAAAATAAATATTAATTTTTTTATTGTATATTGCCATTCCGGCAAAAAATATTAAATAAAGAAGGGGGTTCCACGCCCTTACCAATTTTTATTTTTATATGATTTTTACGCAATTTTTTATAATGTAATTTGCGATTATAATTAATCTATGCTATTACGGTTGCTATTGGGATTCCAGTACAAGGCTTCCAATATTTACACTATCGCGTGTTAATATGCACTAATTATATAATCAGAGTTTTTATAAGTTTTTTTCCCGCTACTTAAATCATAATAATAACCTTTATCAGATTCACCATATTCATTATATCCGCATCCACAAAAAATTTCCGGGGCGCGTCTCAGAAAAATGCCAAGAAAACAATTCTCATGTAAATATAATAAAATAAATTCATGAAATACACATGCAAAAGTAAACTGATTATGTATGCGAAATCGGCCACTAGGGCCAGCTTTATTTATATAGAAAAAAAAATGCAAGATATTATATCTAATTATCTCGACTAGGTGTGGATACTGTCGAGCTTTCTTCTATATTCTGTTGTGATCTAGAAATTGGTGCGTGAATTGACAGGGATATGTTTATAATTTTTATGTTTCGAAAGGTATGCACGAAATTGGTTACTACATCCGTATTAGCAAATTGCACTTGCATTTCGGCTGAACGCGGTAATACCTATGAATGTCAGCCTGGTATAAGGGTATTAAGAAACTCGAAAATATTGCTGTGACCAGCAAAAAAAATGTATATGTCAAGATAATGGAATCTTCTTTCTTGAGGTATGGTATGACGAAAAAATTGAGATTGTCCTCCCTCAAAAAATACTAAAATTAAAGAGTTCGTTAATAAAGCTTAGATCTATAAACAAATAACCCGTTATATGTGACTTTGACTTCTAATCCTTTATTTTTACTGATCTACAGCATTTGTCTGATGTACAGTACATTGTGTAATAGATAAATCGTAATATATGTTTATTAAAAAACTAGTAAAGTACATGTTAATCTTTCTTCTTACAAATTTTCCCATTAACCACATCTTTGGTGCGCTCTGTAGTTGGGGTTACAAATGTGTTGGACGTAATCTTTCTAGGAGGTGTGCGATATCCCTCTTCATCAGAATTATCGAGAAAGGTTTCAATGTCAATATCATCTTTACGATTTATAATATCAAATGTTCGCAATATAATATTTTTCACGTAAAATATTTCTTTTAAAACTAGTGCAAGAGGTTTAGATTTTGTTAAATGGGCTGAAACTTCACAGACTTTTCTTCTTCGAATTCGGGTGACATACCCCTTGGAGAGGTCAGCCGTGATGACCTGCATTCTATTCCCACTCTGAAGCATCCCTACTACACGTAATTTTCTCACATGGTTTTCCTTCATGTTACACTCAATTGCAAGCTGGTTTAACATGTCTTTTAACATTTTACATATCTTTAATGAATCCGTAATAATTTTTGATCCACATTGTCCTTCCCAGTCGCGTCCAGCCTCTATAGCACCGAATTCTAAGCGATCCTTATGTAATCTAAAAACTCCATCTCCTTTTCGACCAACCTTCTTTCTATCACTTGTCGTTCTTTCAACGTTTTTCCTGTCGCTCGATGCAAGACTCATCCCTTCACCACGAATTAAATCGATGTTCACATTGTAGAAGGCAGGATCAATAAGGTGACTCCAGATATTCATCTCATACCAACCTTCCAATTTCAAAGAGTCGAAAGGATTTTCATTTACTTCCCATAAGGGTAGCATTCCTCGGTAAACACGATTAACAAAATCCAGATCAAAGTGAAATTTTCGATCATATTTATATCCATTTGGTATGAATGGTTCAAAAAGAATTTCTCGTAATTTTTCAACATCATCAACTGTGTATTTTTTTAATAATTCCTTAAGAGAATATTCAAGTTCTAGCCTATCATCAACTTCTGAGGTGTTAATTTCTTTCCATTCCTCTTTAGAAAAAAGTGATTTCGTGTGCGCATCGCTTTCATTAACTATGAATGAGTGTAAATAAGATTCAAATTCCAACTCTCGCGCAAATTCATATATAACCTCTTCCACTCTACGTCCACTCCTTAGTGTCCACATGTGATCAGGCTTCATTTTCAAGTATTCTTCTTCAAACTTTTCTAAATCAAGCTTGATTGGCGTTTCTTGCTCGGCATTCTTGTAAATTCTAGGAGTGGCAGATCTAGAACTACCGTTCGATTTTATCTAAATCGTGAAAAGGACGATCATATTAGTAAATTAATGTTTGAAGTAGTAATAGGCTTTGGAGCCCTACCCTTTTAGATTTCTCCTCATGCAAGTCATAACCGCCACGTTTCCTGTTCTCATCTTGTTTTTCTTCACTTTCTAGTGTAATATTTTTACTGGATATGTTTTGTTTTTGACTAAATTCTACAATATTTTCAGTTATTTGATGATGGACCTTCATTGTCGATTCCACATGGTTTCGAGTTTGGGTAACCTATAACGTTAATATATGGATATGGTTGAAATAACATTGTAAGAAAATATTGAAAGAAGTATGGAAAAATGAATAAGTACCTTGATACATTCCATTTTTGCCAATTCAATAGCTTTCTCGTTTTCAATAAGCTCTAGTTGTTGTTCTGTTTGATAACGATTTGCAACTCGCTGAAAGTATTCTGTTGTAGTTTTTGAAGACTTCCAACTCTTTTATATAAGCAAAAGAATATAATGAGTAAAAAATGATTTAAGCTTTTTCCACGATAATACATAAACCCATTCTCTAAAAAGTACACAAGGCCATGACGAACGAATAGTTCAACACAAGACAACGAATAGTTCTCCTGTGTGTCACAGGAGGCCAGAGAGAAGGACAGACGAATAGTCGATCTTCCAGTTGACGAATAGTCCCCTGGCTCAGTCCAACATCCCCATTACCTCTTCAGATTTGTATTAACAGAAACAACGAATAGTTATTTCATGATCACACAATCTTATCCTAAGAAAATTCACCTATTCATAATACGTAACCTGAAATTCTTCGCGTAAATCAGATGCCTTTTGCCTTATGTCTTCCTCAAATGTAGTGTTGTCGATTATCTTCTCTAATCCTTTTTTGATATAGTCTAAAATCTTCATTTTGTTATTTTCGAATCTTTCACATGAAATACACCAATCAGCAAATCCGTTAAGGCTCCACAATTCTGGCGGAGTAATTTGCAAGTAGTCCTCAGTTTCGGCCATAGAGTCTTGCAACGGGTATTTATAACAGTAGTTGAGAAAAAAAATATATAGCAGAACACAAACAACGGAACGCGTAATTATAACGTACGAGTACCGGTAATCGAAGCTAGAATATTATTATTTGTTTTTTTTTAACTATGTAACCGGTTGAACAAAATACTCAAATTCGCCTATTTTTGTTGCGTCATGAGCAGATTGACCAAATTTGGTTAGGGTACTAATGCTAATGCTAATTCTGTAATTCCAGAAAAATGACACTTTGTACTCGTTTCCCGTCTCACAATAACGATAAGCCTTGTAAGATGATACAAATAATTTTTGCGGAATTTATGTTATATATTATTGAAATAACTTGTTACGCGAACAAATAATCATTAAACTTTATGCCTGAAAAGTTATTACCAAATCATTGATTTATTGTTATTTAATTATTAGAGGATCTCTTTTAAAATTTTCACATTCACATCGTCTATATATTCCATCCGCCACCTTTTTGCACGTTTTGCAATATAGATGTGAATGATGATTACATTCGTCACAAACCTTACACCCGTGCTTCCATCCTCTAAAGATATGCCACT